CATTGAAATGGGTATTGTTTAGGGTCTGAGAATGGATTAATTGAATTTCCATTATTTTTAATGGAAAATGTTGCTTTGGACTTTGAACAGTTTGGAGTTTAAACAGCTTCCTAGAATAAATTAAATTTGAAGTAAGAGGCAACACTGTACTGAAATATTGTTTTTCTTAAAATTGTCCTACTTTTTCATTCTTTGTTGATGAGAATCCTGTATTTGTATCAAATAATTCTACTTAAATATAAAAATTTTTTTGTGTTATTAATTTTGAATACATATTATTTCGAAACCTTCTTGTTGGTGCCTTTATTAAATCGGCACCTATGGTGGTGCCACATTGGCCATACCCTAGTTACGACTCTGAAAATAACTATTAGATTACAATTAGGGATGCCAACTTCTAATGAGGAAACACAGATGAGTTAAAAAACAATTCCAATTCCTCATTTGTTTTTCAGAACATTTCTGAAGAATTTTTCAAAAATAACTGAAATTCTGTAGTTTGGAAAATTCCAAACAATTGGCAATCCTAGATCTGACATATCTGGGTCAATCCATTCATAAAAATATTTGACCTTATCTGGACTCAAACCCGTTCATTCAGACTGACAGGGAGGCATCTTTATTGCTTTGGCCATTCAGCTATCCATTTATTATGGTTAAGTTTTCCGTAATAAAGTAAATGAATATTTTTATCTTGAATAAGTTTCTTATTCAATGAGTTTATCATCTTAATATTTTGTCAATTAAGATAGTTATATTCCTATTTTTAGTTTGTTTTGATACAAATTTTTAAATTGTGTCACCAGTTTTCACTTGATAAACCTACTGTAAAAGTGCTCATCTGTTCCAATTTTAAATTGTTTAGTATTGAGTTATATACTTGACCTATTTCCAATTTTTAAAAAATTATTCTTATTAACATCATATAATAAAATAAAAATTAGTTTCCATATTGAACGAATAAACATTCCCGTAATTTTAAAAATATCCAAGTTGCTCTGAGAAGAAATTGATTTTTTTTTTTTTTTTTTGGCAGCTTAGACCTTCATAACACTTTTTATTGCTTTGAATAATATTAAAAATTAGATAAGAAAAAATTTGAAAATTTTTCTGTTAAAAGTAGTTGAAATATTGAATTGATGATGATATTTAGACTTCAAAACAGTAAAATACTTTAGTAAATAAATAATGAAAGATTAAAGAAGCACATTAATTAAAGATATGTTGAATGGGCTTGTGAATAGATTATTATATTATTAATAAAGAAGATGAACAGCCAAATAAGATATCAGTATCTTCAACACATCTTTAAAAAGAGTAATTAGTGATGAAAACAGTTGCTCTTTGACTAAATTTCTAAACTTAATTGATAAAAAATAATGAAATTTATGATATGTATACTGTTGTCAGTATCAGATTGTTAAGTATCTTTGTTTATTTTAACAAGTCATAAATCTAAATGCATTATTTTTATATATTTATGTCTTATTTTTCATTATTTTTCTTTTAATGCTAAAGTATTTTCTTTCATAATGAAAACACACATTAACTGAAGTTAAACTGCATTTAGAATATAAATAATTCAAGTTTTTGTGTCAAAATTATAACACTAAATACAAAAAATTATGCTAATAATGATTTATATATGTGTATTTTTATCTACTAATCACTTATTCAACCTTAAATAATAAGACTAATATTTTTATTAACAGACACACATTAGCTCATTTATCTGTTAAATGTATTTAAACTAATCCATCACAAAAGGAATATACATATTTGAAAATGTGAAGACATGTTTATAACTTATGACAAAAATACTATTGCTTTGCAAAAAATCTTTGTTTTTAGATTTTTGTGTTTTTTTGGTGATAAATAAATAACCTAAAAGTATTAAGGAAACAAAATTTATTTTGAAAATCAATTTATGTTTGAATAATGAATAAATACATTTTTTATAAATCTTAATGAATATAAATAAAACAGTATTTCAAATTATATTTGTATTAAATATTTGTAATTTTCACTTTTATATAAATACAGTTCATAATAATTTTTTAAAATAATGGAATAATTTAAAATAGATTTTTTTATTACAATTAAAAAATATTAATAGTAATATATTCTTAAAGTACCTTTAAAACTTTTGTTACATTTATCAGTTTAAGATAAAGAAAATTTTTTCAGTAAAGTTGAAATTCTCATTGAAAAGTGTGCACTTAGAATCATAGACAGAGTTGTGAGAGCATGGGTAGGCATTGTCCCCCAATATTGGGCAGGAAAAATTATTGAATTTTATCCCAGAATGCATATATTATTTATAGCTATAGAAGAAATAAATAATTACTTATAATTATTCATACCTATAAAGATCACTTAGAGTGACTTTTAGCAAAAAGCTTCTGGATTCTGTGATCATAATCCTCATCATTGGTCTTTATATTGTGCCTCTAAGAAATTTGTTAAACATCCAAATTTATAGATTTTTTTTCAGTTTATACAGTATAAATAGAATAAAATACTAAATATTAAAAAAATAAATTTATAAAAATTATTAAAATTTATGACTCGATATTAAAGTATTAGAATTATTAGGTGATTTATTAAATAGTTTAAATGATTTAATGCAAGAATAATAAGCAAAAATAAACCATAACATTGCAAACTATACGATTCCAAAACATTCCCGATAACAAAAACATAATTCAAAAGCTGAAACACATTCACACATCTCCATGGAAATCAAAATCTAAAATATAAAAATAAAAAACCTTGGAAAGTATAATTCCTTATATAAAGCTACAGATTTTCTTAATAACTAGATTATTAATTACCTAAAAAAGATATTATCCTACCTTGTTTTTTTTACCTGAAAATTTTATATATTACTTTGAGTTCTAATTACATTGAATTTCCCTTCCTCCAAGTAAATAAAAGAATTTTAAATAGATTTAAATCCAATTTCAACGTTATATCACAAATAGAAATGTAATTAGCATACCACAAAATACTAATTTACTATAATTATATTAAAAAAATAATCACTTCAATTCTTTTATACTGACATTAATCTGAACATTAAAAGTACATTTGAACAGAATATTGGCTATGATTACATTTAGTTGCAATTTGTATTATTTTATTATAAATAATTTTGCACTGTTTACTGTGAAGCAGTACAGTGTCATTGCATTTCACTATTGTTGATTTTTAAAAACAGATTTAAAGAAAATTAGCAATCATTTTACTTGATATTCACTTTTGTAATATAACCAGTTTGCTTTGTATGAGGGTGTTAAATTATTTATTAACTCCCTACAACATAAATAAACTGATTAAATGTATGTGTTTATTAAAACTGTATGAATTCATGGAAAGTACAAAAAGAAAGTTTGCATTGGTTTTGATTTTGTTATCACTCTACTAGTGCTTATATCTTACAAAGTGTTGCTGTGCATAAGGAAAAGAATCTTAATTACAGTCTTATATATTTATAGATAAACTTGAAGTACAATACTATTTGTATTTACTATATTAAAAATATTTATCACGCAAAAACAGACCTTAAATTTTATATTTGTAAGAAGCGTGAATAATTTAATGTGATATAATGCAGTTGCTACAACACTAATTATCATTGGGTTCTTAGTACCCATTTTGCTCCCATACCTGGTTTATGAAACTATATAAAGTATATTTTCAATGTATTGTATTATCAATATATAATGGAAGATTTTACAAAAAAAAATTAAAATCTTGTTATTTTCCCTTTTAAAAACATTATTAACTAACAGATAAAATTTCAAATGATCTTACTCTAAAAGGGTTGTGTAGGTGCATGAGACACTCTACAACAAAGATATTCCTATACAAGTTACTTGACAAAAATATTGACAAGTTCTGTACAGTTTATACTGTATATAATATGTTATTTCATTATATATAAAGTTGTATCATATATTAAAATTATACAATAAAATCATTAAAAATTGGCACATGATTATTGATTGAGTTTTATTACATTATCCCCACATTCAAATTTCATTCTGGAACTTCTGAATCTAAGTTTATATTATTACATCTAGTTTGATGATTAGTCTATAATCATATATAAACATAAGCTTGAAATATTATTATTGTAATGATATTTTGGATATAATGGTAATAGTTGAATATGTGAAATATCTGGAAAACAATTTGCTGTAAATATTAATTTCTTTTCTATCAGTTTTGTATGAAAATAAATTGCAATTTTATTGCCAATAAAGCATATTCATTTATGTATAATTTTAATTACTATTACTTTTTAAATTGACCTAGATAATTACTAGCATAAATAAACACAACTTTAAACATATACGTGGTATTGCAACAGATTCAAAATGTACATATACAAATCAATATATATTAAGTTTCTGAATATTATGTAGTAAATTATTAAATGAATCTATAATAAATATAATTATGTTACTGTCTTTGTGATATGTTTTTACTTCTAATATTTTATTAAAAAGTATTAATTTGTTGTATATGTTCTTAATATTTAGCATCCGAATTGGAATCAGTACGGCTTTTGTTTGCTGAGAAAGAAAAAGAATTGTCATCAGCAATTCAAAAAGTTGGTGATTTGACACTTCAGTTAGATGAGTTAAGGCAGGGAAATCTGAATGAACTCAAAAATGATAATGTTTCCATTTCTTCCTCAACTCAAGAGCTTGTTAAATTACGGCATGAGCTGTTGGTAAGGAAAGTTTTTACTCTATAGAGTTGATTAGAGATAAATATTATAAATGATGTAATTTTTTTTCATAGTATCATACAAAGTTAACTGAACAACAAAACACTCGAATAACACAACAGAGGAAACTCATAACACAACGTCAAGATGAAGTAATGCGTGCAGATCAAAGGATATGGGAACTGAAACAAAGACTGCATCGTAAACAGCTACATAATCAACAACTCTCCAAGCAATTACAGATGACAGTCACAGTTCCTAAACAAGGTGTTTCAAAACAATTGAGACCATTAAGCTGTAATGTTGCTGCAGTTGAACCAGTTAGGAGACCCCAAGAACCAGAAAGGTCTCAAGATGATATTCATGCAAAATTGACTAGTATTGATGATTTCAAAGAATTTTTTCCAAATAAGAATGATCCTAAGTATCAAACACTGCCTTATAATACTAAATTTGCTGTAAGAAATGGAACTCCTCCTGACGAACCTGATTCAACTGTACCTAAAGTGGATAATAGACCTGTGGCATTTATGCCACCTGATATTGAAAAGGGAAATATGCTCATTGCAAAAGCTGTTCCTGCTGGAAACATCTCCCCATCTAACGTTTCTTCAAATAAGTCTTATCCATCATCTAGGATAAACCATTTTACTCCTCGCCCTTATGGCCCTGTATATAATTTAAGTCAAGCCTCACCACTTCCTGTTTCTGGAAGTAATAGTACTGCTGTCGTTCATCCTGTCATAACAAGTAGTAATAATTATGTAAGTTTAATTATTTTTATTTTTTTAACATACTCTAATATAATACAGAGCAGTAAAGTGGCATCACTTTGTCACTTTGATTAAGTTTGATGCTAAGTTGTTTTATATTTTAATATTATTTTGTACAAGATTTAGGCTTTAATTATAAGTTTCGATTAATATTTACTTTCCAGCAACCATCCAATACTGCAACATCACTTCCCTACAGTCCAATTAAAAGCAATAATACATTCAATAGTAGTGTGAATCAAACAGAAAGAACAGAGAAATCTAATTATATTACAACAAATTCAACTATATCCACAAATTCAATTCCATGGGTAAAATCATTACCTGGAAAAAGTGAAAATGCCAAACTTTTACCTGAGAGCAGTTCATCTACACAAAACAAACCAATAGTTCCTCCTAAACCAGTAAAACCTCTTCCTCCTCCAAGGCAGATACATACAGAAGGAAATTCTGGAGATAAACAAGAAAATGTGGATTTAGCATTAGCTGTCCTTAAAAGTTCTGGATTAGAAAATACAAGTGGATTTAGGTAAAGAATTTTTTCTATAAAATCAGACTTTAATATCATTAATTTTGAAAACATCCTTTTTATAATGTTTGATATATAAAACTATCTGCAGATATTTTAAATTGAATATTTCAAAAATATTTGCTTAATATTATTGCTTTATTTTCTCTGAACAGTTGATTTATTTTTTATTTTTTCTATAATTTAGAAGCAACTTTAGATAAATATTAATAGTATTTGACTACAGTTTATTGGGGGAAAAATTATAAATCCTGAATTTGG